ATGAGAGGATATTGGGGGGGTTGGGAGGAGAGCACGGGAGGAGGGGAGGGAAACGGAAAGGGACCTGGAACTGACATGTGAAGCAACCTTGTTTCTAATTTAAAATTAAATAATAAAAAAGGAAAAAAAAAGAAAAATGTAATTAAGTAATTTTTGGTTATTTACTGAATGCTTACTTAACTAATAAATTATTTTAAGGAATAAACTATTTTAAAATAACGGAGTTATTTTTATTTCTTTTTTTAATCATATTTTATTTTAATATTAAATAGCTTGTTTTACATGTCAATCCCAGTTCCCTCTCCCTCCCCTCCTCCCGCACTCCCCTCCCCCCCCCACCCTATTGCCAAACCCTTCCACATAGGGGATATCTAGAGTCTGTCATTTTACTCTGGGTAGGGTCCAGGCACTCCCCTAAGAGTCCAGGCTGAGAGAGCATCCCTCTTTGTGCTATAGGCACACGAAGACTGTTTGTATACCAGGGATAGACACTGATCCACAGCTCAGGGCCCCATAGGTTGCCCAGGCCTTCTCTCTGACACTCACATTTGGGGGGTCCAGATCAGTCCCATGCTGGCCTCACCACTGTCTCTCTGGGGTCCAAGAGCACTCCCCTGTTCAGATCAGCTGTCTCTGCTGGTTTTGCCAGCCCATTCTTTGCCAATTTGCTCATCACTCCTCTCTCTCTGTCACTGGGTTCCTTGGGTTCAGTTCAGTGATTAATTGTGTGTTTGACTCTGCTTCCATCAGTCACAGGATGAAGGCTCCTGGATGGTTATAGACATCAAGTTCATTATCAGGAATGGGCATTCGAGGTGGTCTCTCCACTATTGCTTAGCTTGCCAATTGGTGTTATCCCTTTAGATCACTCGAGGTCGCTCTGGTGACTGATCTGTATTCTATCCTATGATTCCCTCTTCCCCCTATTCTACCCCCACCCCCTCAACTTCCTGTTCCCCCATGACCAACTCTCTTCCTCTTCACCCCTTCTCTTCTTCCCAGGTCCCGCTCCCCCACCCCTCGCCGTGTTCCCCATCCATTCAGAGGATCTTGTCTCAATCCTCTTCTCTTGGGTACTATGCATACATGCATATCTTTTAGGTTCTTTCCTGTTTCCCAGACTCTCTATCAGTGGAAGTGCAGACACAGTAAATATTCACCTTGTCTAAATGAATTAGTAAAAATTTTTGAAAGGCATTTAAGAGTGAAGACTTTTGGAAATAACAATTAGATTGACATACAATGTGAATATCCCTCAGTATATCTTAGTAAACAACGGGAAGAAGGTTAGAAACTAATCAGGAGTGAAACACCATTTATTAATACTTGTGATCTTAGTCTTTACTAAAAAAATTGGAATTATTTTTAATTGTATTTGTTTAGACATTTATATAAGATATAGGTGTTGTTGGTTCTTTAAAAATTACTATTAAGTGGCAAAGATCCTGATAGCCTGTATTAATGTGAACCTATTCTTTAATTATAGGATGACAACACCATCATTTGGCAGAGGCACCCTATGTGGGTCATGGTATTTGTTGCCCTAGACTGGTGAACTTTCAGAATTTAAAGGATATGATCACAATGTTGAATGTATCTTCTAAATTAAGATAAAAGATGCAAAGGGGTTAGGGCTTGGCGGATGAAATCCACAGAAACAGCTGATCTGAACAAAGGGGAGCTCATAGACCCCAGACTGATAACAAAGAGTTCAGCATGGGACTTATCCAGACACCCTTAATGTTTGTGTCAGTGAAAAGGCCTCAGCATCCTTTGGGACCTCAGGCAAGAGATAAGCACTTAGTCCTGTCATCCAGATGGACTTTGGGAGCCCATCCCATGTGGCGGGATGCTGTCTCAGTCTGGACGCATGTGGGAGGGCCTAGGCCCTTCCCCAGATCATATGGCAGACTTTCAAGATTCCCCCATGAAGGGCTTCACCCTCCTTGGAGAGTTTAGTGGGGATTGGGGAGAGGTTAGGGGAGGATTGAAGTGGGGCTAGAGGGGGGTGGGGATAGCGAGCTAGAATTGACATGTGAAGCAAATTTGTTTCTAATTTAAATTAAATTAAAAAATAAATTACAAAAAAGATAGAAAGCATATCAATTTTTCTTTTAAACAAAAGCAAAGTAAATTTAGGAAAAATGTTTAAAATTAATTTATTATTGTTGAATTTTCAGTGAAAACTGATGTTGAAATAAAAGTTTATTAGTAGGTTTAATTCAGTACAGTACAGAAAACCATGTAAGGATTCCACAGCTGAGTGTTCTTGGCATATTTTTAAATTTAAATATATTACATTGATATTTGATAATCAGAATTTAAATTTGATTCTTCACATATAACATGTCAAAATGAACAACAGGAAATGAATTGTATTCATTGTAGTTTGCTTTTTCTTTAAATCATCTATTGTTTTTCTTTTTGTCATCCTAAAGACACCGTATTTGGAACATTACTGCCATTGTCTCTTAAATACGTATGTGTGTTTAACACTTTTTGAAATAATTATTGTTATATATAAAAGAAGGATTATTAAATATTGCTCACATATTAGAAATCACTAAAGAAAATAAAATTTGATTTCAATTACCAATAACTTTAATTTATATTTATCTAAATACAAATTTAAAATAGGTAGCTTTGCATATAATCTCTAAGTGATAATTGTAATGATAAATTATTGAACAATAATTTGGTGGAAGTGATCTTTTGAATTCATATGCATGAGTAGAAAATTTTGCCATAATTATAAATAAAAACTCATTAGTGCAATTTTAGAAGGAATTGAAGCATTTTAGAATTTAATTTATTACAATGATTAATATGCCTTTTTAGTACTTATTTGCCCTCAACCAACTTAAAACTCATTAAATATAATTTTCAAGAGTGATTTCTCCACTTATACCACTTTACTTTCTAAGAAAAATAGTTTACTATATATTCACTATAAATGTACTTATATATTTCAAAAATGTCCACTAGTCTAAAAATGCATAGTATGCATTAATCACTTAACAATTATTTTATAAGTTTTCATTTTACATAAACATAATTTTTATGAAATTATCAAAATTTTTGGAAAAATTTAGATAACACATTTTCTTTTTTAAATCCTTATTTTTAAGGATTTCCAACCTGCTTAGTATGATAAGAAAATATTATCATGTCACTTTTTCTGAAATTTTCTCTAATTGACTACTTAACCATTCCAATTGTGAGACATTTAATAATCTTCTCACATTTTAGCAGGAATTAATAATACCTTCATGATATCGATGCGAAGATCAGGAAAAATACATGACTAAGTATTTTAAAGTTTTCTGACAGATAATGACAGCTGAATATAACAGAAGTTTATTTGTTGTGTTGTTTATATATGTGTCTTTTAGAGCTGTGTTCCCTATGAAGTTCATTTCACTGATTCAGTTCTTCAATGGGACATACCTTCAGCTGGTTCTTCTGTGTACATTTAAAAAATTGAATCATGGAAATTATTTTACTATTTACAAAATAAGAATTTGGGCTAGCAAGATTGTCTAGAAGGTATAGACTGCTACTAGCAAACCTGAGGACCTGAGTTCCCATAGTGGAAGCAGAGAACTAATATTGAAATATGACTTCTAATCTACACATATTTCCATGGAAGCCTACCCCCACACACACATACACATGCACCTACACATGTTCATTCCCATGCCAGCAAACACACATATCTAATAAAAGTGTAATTACAATAAATACAAATGTAAGTAAATTCTTCAAGTTTTCTATTATTGAATTAAATAACTCATACCAAGCATAATTCCAATTATTTATAGCAAACCTATTAATACCTATAAAATATATGCATGTGATGAATCAAAATATTTTCAGGATGCTTTCAGTATATTTCTTGAATATGACCATATTGATTTTGAAATATCTTTGAAATCTTTAAGCAAAAGTGTACCTTATTGCATTTCTTTTGTTTTAGACAACAAAGCAAAACATTTTAAAAATAGTTAGCTAATCCTACTTATTAAAACTTTACACAAAGACTTCTACCTGTTGAGGTAAAACAACATCTGTCCACTGTAAATAATTGCAGAAACGTTTTGCTCATTGGCCTGAAATAAACATATGTCTTAATATAAAAACTAAACTATTACTTTCTTCATTGGTATGTTAATTACCAGTGAATGTTAATTACAGAGTTTTACACCTGGATTTTCAACCTAAAAATAATCCAAATTTGAGAAAGATTGAGAGTCCCAAAAGTTTAAAATTTCAAGTTATTTGATATTATACTACTTTCTTATTTTTCCATCAGCTCTGTCAATTTTCTCTCTACGAAAGTTTGCCAAAGTTCAAAGATCAACACTGAAGAGAGGGTAAGGTTAAAAGTACCTACACTTTATCAAAGAAGTGTGGAAGCAGTTTAAATATGACAAAGTACAGAAATATTATTTTCTATTACACTGTTATTTTATCTACTTTTTATGTAAAAGATAGATTACAATAGAGTTCAAACTTGTCATGTTCTTTTACTGTAAATTCCTCAAGTCATAATTCTTATATATTTTTAGATAAAGTGATTGCCAATGCAGCAAGACTTCCTCAATTTGGTTTCTATATATGGTCCATATAGAGTTTGTCTTGCATTACCTAACTCTAGGCTGGATTAAAGGCCCCATTCAAAAAAGGAGCATTTATCTCTTCTTTTGGGTATTCAAATGCACACACTTTACCATGGTTTAACTAACACAGGGCCTTGGATAATGGTAATTTTTTTATTGAGGGGAATAGAATTGAGTGGTAACATTGAAAATGGCAATCAAATTTTCACAAGAATGTGATACCTAAATATAAATACATAGTTTAATGTTCAATAAATTATAATAGCCATGGCTCTGTATGACATTCAGTATGTCTGGCACATTCTTGCATCAAAGCACACCTTGTAATATGAGAGTTCATGACATCACCTTCATAGACTATAAATAACATGGAAACATTACCTTCTGTATTGTAATGATTCCTTCCTGTGTGTCTTTGTCAGCAGATATCTTGAAAATCCCCAGTCCATCACCATCCACTATTTTGTATTCCATTTCTGCATTAACTCCTATATCTGCATCAGCAGCTTTAATTCTGGCCACGACAGATGCTACAGGCAAAGATTCTGGAACATTATACTGGTAAGATCCTGTGGAACATCAAAATAAAGAATGAACAGAACTTTCTTATCCTCCTCTTCTAAGAACTACTGCTTTATTTTCATAATATCGTATTGTTTTTTCTCAATAAGGAAAAGATAAGACAATATAAAATGAATGAAAAGTTCCATGAAGCCTCAAGAAATTTGAGATTCATGTTTCAGCAAAGACAAGTGACATAAACAGATTACCTGAAGAAAGTTGGGTTAGGTGCATCTAGTAGTATCTAGTAATTAGAATTATTCTTCCTAGAGTACTGAAACTCAACTAATAAGTAAAGTACAATTATTAAACATATGTTGTCATTTAGATATATTAACCACCACAATAATATTGAACAATAAAACAGCTCTCTTGACAAATATCCAAAGGCATGACTAATATTTCTGATAAGTTAACACTGATTTTATTTAGTATCTTTTATAAAGAGACTTTCACATAACTGGACAAGCACCTATGGAAATAGTAATATATGTCTACTTGTAAAGTCTTAATATTCCTTTAGGAAGAAGAGTTGAATTTGCAAATTCTATATTTTTGATTCTTGACATAGTAGTACAAAAGTATAAGTGATATTATTTTAAAAGGGACAAAGAAATGAATAAGAGAAATGACCTATACAAACTTTTATTTCACTGATTTATTAGTGCTTTTCATCGTTTTGTAGATAAAAAAGAATTTTGAGGGACAGATGTGGAACAAAGAAGGGATGCCACTGAGTAATGTGTTTCTTGACAATTTGCTTCTAACATTTATTTTTCTTGCCCCTTACACTTTACCTCATACTCTATTAATTGTAATTCCATGATGCATTTGCAGTTTTCCGTATAAAAGGGACAGACTGTCCTTAAGAGGGATGTAGAAAAGAATAGGAGCATAGTCATTTTAGACTTTAATTTTTGAATACTGAATGGTACAATTTTTTAAATGATTACAGTATATCTGTAACATTTTCAGTGAGTTCCTTACACTCATAGAGGTATCATTAATAAATCTCAAAGGTTTCAAGGATACAGTAATAACTAATTTGCAGAAAAATCAGTTAGTATAATAATGAAAATAGAAATGAAATGATAGCTAATTGAGTTCTTTCACTTTAGAATCCAGGAAAGGATATGAGACAATGTAAACCCTGGGCTCCATGTCACAAAAGCATGAAAAGCACAAATACTGAAAGCAACAACACCATCTCTTTATCAGCGTTAGAGAGAAACAGTCATTTTACAGGCAACAGAAGATAAAAATAGCATTCTTCTTGAAAACTAGCCCCTTCTTCCCATGGTAAGCCACAAAATGCATAAATGGATTTTTTTCTGTGCTTTTTGAAAGTACCATAATGTTTCTTATAAAATAATAAAAGTATCAAAAGATACAAAATATTTGAATATATATTTGATTAAAAACCAAAAGTTTGCACTGTAGCTCACAGTTATTATTTCATATATTTATTTCTGTCTCTTGGTATGGAATTGCTTCTATTGAATAACCATTTTAGAGTCATGGAAAAGACAGACTAACCTTTGAGTTTTAAGTCAATGGCAGTTAAGATTCACTATGGGAAGGGAGTACCCTTCCTTAACTTAGCCAAGTGCAAGATAATCTTGTACTACATATGATCTACCTAGTTGTCCATGATCATTCAGGTAACACAAAGCAAATGCCATGAGGCACAAACAAGCAAACAATATTTGACAGACTTGTTGGGAAGAAGGGAGTTCCTAGGAAGAGGCAAGAGAATAAGAGTTGGTTATTAGGGAGACTATCAATGCACATTATACGTGTGATGCAAATATAAAATTAAGAAAGGAATAGAGAGCCGGGCGTTGGTGGTGCACGCCTTTAATCCCAGCACTCAGGAGGCAGGAGCAGGCGGATCTCTGTGAGTTTGAGGCCTGGTCTACAGAGCGAGTTCCAGGACAGCCTCCGAAACAATGCAGAGAAACCCTGTCTCAAAAAACCAAAAAAAAAAAAACCAAAAACAAAAACAAAAACAAAAAGAAAGGAATAGAGAGAAAAGGAAGGAAGGAAGGAAAGAAGGAAAATAATTCCCTTTAACATTTTAAATAAGTCCCATATGTTACAAAATCATGGAGAAAAGAAGTATAGGATCAAATGATCTTGTAAGGAGGACACAGCTACCCTGAGAACACAGGTTCTTATTTTTATTTTTCTCCTTATTTCTTGTTGAATCCAAAGTTCAGAAGCTCATCTGAAGGGGAATTTCTGATGTTTGTGATTGCATTGTTTTTAGACATTAAATTTGCATAACAGAAATATGGTAAAACTGTAAAAGAAAATGTTTAGTATAATTGATCTGATTAAAAAGCATAAAATGAGCATTTTATTTTAGTAAGATAAATTGCATCAATTTGTGCACCTAACATGTTGATAATTATAAAAAATCTTACTTTAAAAATAAACCCTTAGGCTCCAGGAGTTCAGTTCAATGTTTAGACTTTGGGTGCCCATCTCATATTGAGGGATGCTCTCTTGCCTGGACACATGGGGGAGGCCTAGGCCCTGGCCTGGATGAATTGACAGACTCTGGATTTCGCCATGGAGAGCCTCACTCTCCCTGGAGAATGGAGTGGGTATTGGGTGGGGGTCTGGGGGACTAGGGGGATGGGAGAGGAGGGAAGGGAGAGAGAGATAGTATTGACATGTGAAGCAAGCTTGTTTCTAAGTTAAACAAAAAAATTTAAACAAAAAATAAACCCCTACTATTTTAAACCCTTGTAAGAAAGGTAATTTTGGTAATTGACAACAACTATGGAACACAGTACAGATTCAAAATAAAAATAAACTTTAGTAAGTTTAAATACAGAACTAGAATGAACACTTATGCACAATTCAAAGTAAAATTTCAAGGCAAATTGTTTCGTATTTAGTGAGATTATCCTTCCTATTCGATACTCTGAACTTAATTTAGACCCTTGCTAAAATACAAATTTGGGAGAAAGTCATCTGAGTCTTTTGCCTGCTCTTGTGACCCTTTCCCCCTGCTGGCTTGCCTCAGCCAGGCGCAACATGAGGGTTTGTTCCTAGTTTTACTGTCAATCGCAGTGTCTGGTTGCTATCCATTGATCGATCGTCCTTTTTTACAGGGAAAGGTAGGAGTAGTGGATCGGGAGGAGACAGAATGTGTGTGGCAGGGAAGGGATTTGGGAGGAGACGAGGGAGAAGAAACTGTGACTGAATGAAATCTGTGAGAGGTGAATAAATGAGAAAGAAAAATATCTGAAAAGAATTGTAAATATTGTAAAGATGTTTTTACAGTTAGTCATCACTTAAAATAACTTACTTCGTGGAAAGCGAGGTGGGTTATCATTGACATCCGTTAGGGTCACGGTGACTGAAGTGGTTCCAGACAGTCCGCCATTTTGACCAACCATATCCTTTGCCTGAATGACAAGCAAATACTGGTCTTTAGCCTCTCTATCCATGTTTGGAAGGGCAGTCTTGATGACTCCTGTAAGATTTTAAATCTCAGTAAACAGCACCATGATTCACTACATTATAGTAGAAAAAAATATGGATAAAGGAACGACATGTGACTGTTCAGTTGCCATCTTGTGCTTTCATTTTTCTGCTTGCTTTCTTATTTTAGTGTAGATTAGAGATCATCGGTGTACATATACTTTATAATATATATATATGTACATCGGTGTACATATACTTTATAATATATATATATATGTATATGTATAATACTAATATGTAGCTTTAGGTTTTGTTACACTTATATGACCTGACTACACATCTACTCAGCCCTGACATCGCTTATCTTTCATTCTGTAGTCCCGAATTTCCTCTTCTGGTTATTTAACTTGCTGTAACTAAGACAGCTGTCAGAAGGACTGGCAGAGAACGTCTATCTTCATTATAAGCATATCTGTATGTTAAATAGTACATGTTCACATGCTTGAGTAGTCAGCAGTTGTCATAGTGATAACTGGAAGAAACCATACAAATAAAAAGAAAATGGCATTTAGAATTTCTAGAAAATTCTCATGCACTCATAGGAAAAATGTGAACATTCTTCCCATTTATGAGCCTATACCTTCTCCTTTATTCTGCTCCATATCTTTATTCTATCTACTTCAAAACTGTTCAGATGCTGATTGGCCAGTTTAATCTCTTGCCTTGTCTATACTTGGGCAAGTCAGCTACACAGTGCATTCTAAACCAACTTGGCTAGAGAGTGAAATTTTATATCTGAAAATCAAAACCACATGGCTAGTTGGTGGAAGTCTATAATCCCAGCATGTCAGAGGTAGAAAACTGATGATCAGGTGCTCAGGGCAATCAATCCTCAATAACAGTGAGTTGTAGAACAGCCTGGATTACTCTGTCACAGAAATCATCATCATCACCATAATCATCATCATCATTACCCTAAACTCTCTTCTGTTGCTCAGAGGATGCTCAATCTTAGTTTTGGTTCCAAAAAGCCAAGTGGTAAAAAGACCATCATGGAAACAAGAATCATTGAAAATTTTAGACAGAAATAGTAAAACAGATAGTATTTTGAAAATGATCAGAGTGTTCTTATTATTTCTAAAAATGAGAACATACAAAATAAAGGATAAGGTAAATAATCTATCATTTCTTGTTCTACCATATCAAATACTTATAGTAAATCTTTATCAAATACCAACACTCCAAGTTGAATGGTATAAATACACTATATGGCCATATATATACTATGTCTACCATTATTTCTCAGACATAAGCATGTATATTAAAATACACATAAACACATATCAGCAACTCATCTACACCTTTGCTTTATGGTAACACCTACTCACATATGCCAAATTTTATTTTTTGACATAACTCACTTTTTCTAAGCACATTGTGTATAACTGCCAGCAAGAGGTACCTGGATAGTATCACATATTAACATCTTCAGTGGCTTGTTGATATCTATATCCAAATTATTTATTTTGAAATGCTACCATAAAATGAAAATAATGTTATATACTCAGCAGTTTTACTTGTGAAATATCTGATACAAAGGTACCATTTGTTAAGTGTAATTATTTTATGTACACTCCATGTTTTTTCAGTATTTCTAACTCGACAGCAAAATAAGAATGAACTTAACTCACTATGGCTATTTATAAGTAAACTTTCTTACTATACCCTTTCTTGAGTAGACACTTATGTCTTCTTTTTGTTTTTTCTTGTTTTATTTGTCATTAGTAAATTTAATGTGTCTTTTTTATTAAATATTGATAATCTTGAGAATGGCTAATAAACACATTTAATTTTTATGAAGAAGTATTATTTTACAAAAAAATCCCACTCATAATTTCAACTATTTAGTCTCAGTCTCATGTTTTTCTTCCAACAAGACTGTGTACCTGTTATCACATTTGCAAAATACTATGGTAGAAGCAGGGATCACTGGGACAACCTGACCAGTTACATTAATAGAAATGGCTGCATGCAGGCTCTAAGATCTGTGAGAGACTTTCCTTTATTTAATAAATCGAGTTTGAAAAAGACTCTAATGTGAACCTGTAGCCTCCAAATGTGTTTGTGAATTCACACATGCTCCCTGTGAAATACAAATGGATTCAAACACATGAGAAAGTACATAACACACACACACACACACACACACACACACACACACACACACACACACACACCAGAAAGAGACACACACAAAGGATAGCAATTCTGATACTGCTGACTCCGTAGGTTTCACTAGTGACATTGTTTTTGAAGGAATTTTAACATCATTATATTAGAAGTCTGGATATCAAAGTTACCTACTTACTTTTAAGACCTATAAATGTCTCTTTATAAAGGATCTTATAAATAATATTTTCTCAACACTAAAATAATCACAAAACTTGTAAGTGATTGCAGGTGAGAGAGGAAATTTCCAAATACTTCAGCTACTACACTGAAGTGTAATAATAGGCAACACTTGAGTTTAGATACAAATACTTGGCAATACTTCATTTCTAGTTATTTAAATATTTTTGCTTTAACTTAGAAACTAATGTTATGAAAAGAATTCTTAGATATTACATTTTCATTTGTCAATTCTGAAGTCACAGGCTCATCAATGTACACACTGAGTAACTTTTTAAACATATTATTATTATATAAACTGGTAAAAGTTAGTCTGATATAACTGGGTTACTATAATGTGTAGTAGCATTATGGAATTTAAAATATTCAATAATCAATAATTTGTAAGCCATGCATAATGAAAGATAAATATATTGCTAGCTGTTTAGAAAGTATTTGGCCTTGTTTTCAACATTCCTTGTCTTATTATTTTAAACTAATACATAACCTGAACTTTATGAGTGGTAAAATATTTTCTTTAACTTTTATTTATAATTCACATTTAGATAAAGCATCCTAAAAATACACACACAAACACGGATGGATATAGTTTGCTTTTGTTCAACAATTGTCTGTTCTGTAGTCTGCAGAAAAACACTTACGATTTTTCTAATGTGCCAACAACTGTGATTCCTTTGTAGAACCTATCGTGTTACCATGGAAGCTTAATTTTGTAGCGTGATCATGTGTATCAGGTAAGATTTTCTTTCCTGCAATAAATCACAGTGTAGGAGACTACTTGACGCTTCCAATTTTTCTGCACACTCTGCTTTAAATTTGCTATCTTGAAAAACACATACTCTCAGTGTAGACAGATATATGTATATTGTGCATGGTCAACACATTGCCATTTGCCTTACTACAACTAAATCAACACATAAGATCATACTTTGAGTAGGTTAATAATAAAATTTGTGTCTCAGTGTTGAGACACCTGTTCTCATACGTGTTTCATTATTTGAGAACACATCCTTCCTGTAAAGTCAAAAACCTGTGCTAAGTCCCTTGGAAAACCACTAATGCTTCCCCTCTAATCATGGCAGCCTTTATTTCAGAGTCATTCTGACAACTCAAAGAATATAAAAATAAATATTAGCCATATCATCTTCCTTGTGATTTCTGTGTAGTTACTAATTCATGTGAGAGTGAGTGTCATAAAGTCACTTTATGCAAAGCTTTGAAAAATAACAGTCCATCTTTGAAAGAATGTTAATAGTGTTAGCAAGAACTGTATGTGTAATCATAATACATCGGAAAATCATGTCATTAGCCCCTTTCCTTTGTTTTTAATTGATTTTCCTGCCAGCCTCTGTGTTAGCTATTAAAGATAATAGCTTTATGGGAATATTCCCACGTAAATAAGAACAGTATATGTCAATGTCCCCCAGAGAAGGAGAAAATGAAAAGATCTTCTGAGCTAATTCGTAGCATGGGGGGAGAGGGAGTTAACAGAAAGAGAAGGAAGAAGAGGGGGAGAAGAGGACATGAGGGAGCAGGAAGTTTGAGTCAGGGAAGAATAGAGGAGAGCAAGAAAAGAGATATAACAGAGGGATGCATTATAGGTTTGAAGAGAAATCTAAGCAAAAGTGGAGAAGCTACCTTAAATACACTTCTCAGATAATGAGACTGATGACTACCTTATATGCTATCATAGAGGCTTCAACCAGTAGCTGATGGAAGCAGAATTAGACACCCACAGGTAAACACTGAGCGGAACTCTTGGAATCCAGTTGAAGAGAAGGAGGATTGATGAGAAAATGAGTCAAGACCAGACTGGAGAGACCTACAGAAACAGCTGACCCAAACAAAAGGGAAGCCTGAGGACCCCAGACTGATAGCTAGGAAACCAGCCAACGACTATTCCAGATCCCCTGAACGTGGTATACATCTAGGAAATATCTCCAACAAAATTCCATGCTAGTTGTCTTAGCTTAGTTTCTGTTTCTACTATAAAACATCATGCCCAAAAACCAAGTTGGGAATCACAGGGTTTATTTGGCTTATATTACAGCATTGCTGTTAATCACTGAATGAAGTCAGGACAGGAGATCAAACAGGGCAGTATCCTGGAGTCAGGAGCTGATACAGAAGCTATGGCTTTCTTTCCATGGCCCACTCATTCCACCTACTTACAGAACCCAGGACCACCTGCCCAGGAACAAACCATGGGCTGGACCCTCCCTCAATGATCACTACGTGATAAAATGCCTTACAGCTCAATCTCATTGAAGAATTTCCACAACTGAGGCTTTTCCTCTCTGATGACTCTACCTTTTGTCAAATTGACACACAAAACTAGCCAGTACACTAGTCAAGAACTAACTGTATATTCTGCCAAATATGATGAGTTGCTGAGTTCAGGTAAGAGCTAGAAAATCCTCCATAGGTACTTAGATTGGATAGCAAGTGTGGCCTCTGTAAACTGGGTCCTAATATCACTTTCTCTCTTTATGAAAGATACCATTTTAGGCAGATTATACCCATTTGTGATGTAGCATAGAAACTTGTGAAAACAAAATGAATTTCAAATAACTGAAGATGTAATGAATAATGAGTTAATTAGGAAATAAAATTAAAGTCAAACAAAGTGTACAGAAAGGGGAACACTCTTAGGAGTGTTTATCTGTGAGGCTTACACTGCCGTATGAAACTAAATACCCTGAATTACGTAACTGAAGTTATCAGAGCTTAATGTTGTGAGTTATTGTGTAATATATCCACAGATAATGAAAACTAGGTTGAAAGAACTGGCTTTGTATAATTCTAGAACATGACCATGATAAAATAAGTCAAGGCTGCCTTCAAATTTTTAAATCTTGAAAGTAATATTTCAAAGGAATTTAGAAATTCAATTATGATAATATTGAAACATGCTTCTTTAAGCAAATATCTCTTATTAGACTCAATACAATGGTGATTATGAATTAATTCCAAAAAGGTGCAATAATCTCAAACTTGATACTTTTTTTACTGTTGTTAATTAGCACTCTTCATCAGACATACATGATTACACAAAAGCATGACATTTGTGAGAATGCTCCTCCTTTACCTGAAAAAAATTCTTGGGAACAGAAATAATTTCTAGAAGAAATTTTAAGTGTAATTATATAAATACTATATACTTGTTATATAAGATATTAATCTCCTCCTGAAGTCTTTGTTCCCTCTTAAATTTTAACCTAAGCTTCATATTTTTGGAAGTGTTCATTTGAATGCCATATGTGCACTGAAGCCTCATATTTCCTACCACTTTGTCCTTTTTTGGTGATATTAGAGACTGTTCAATATTTAGAAGCCTGAGTTCACTTTAAGGAAGTCAGTCCCTGGAATTGTATCTTGAAGGTTTTATTGCCCACTGCCATTCTTGACTGAAATTTCTGCTTCTTTGCTGGTGCCACGCTGCAAGACCCTGTAGCTGTGGAGAGGATCACTCCAGCTTCTTTATTGAACTATATTGCCAAACTTAATGTGCCAAAATCAGTGTCTAATTCCTAAGTCATTTCTGGCATAAGCAATGGATATGGTGGTGGCCCTAAAAGCATCTGTACCTGAGTTAGATCCCCAGAACCCAACTGAAAGAGATAGATAATGTAGTCGCACTGGGGGTATAGAGAAAGCAACTCCTCGGGGTCAGCCAACCTGACCTGAGGAGTTCTAGGTCAATAAGAAACCTGTCTCTAAAACATTGAATGAATCAACTGAGAGAATGGAAAATAATGAAAGGTAGGTGGGAGTAGATGTTTCAGGTGTTATGGTAAAATTGCTAATAAAATGAACTTAAAGCAAGTCCTCATATAATGTATGGAAAGTATTAAATGATCATAACTAGTGTTTTCAAAATATAACTATTCAATTGGAGCTGGAGAGATGGCAGAGAAGTAATCCTAATCCTTACATGATGGATCACAATCATCTACACTTTCAGTTGCAATGTATCACATGTCTTCTACTGGCACCCTGCAGTAACACAATGCAGAGACATACATGGGGAAAAACAATCATACACACTCAAACCAAAACAAAACAGTTACCAAGTGGAAGGAGTGCTTCAGCTTTGCATCTCTTTTCCAGAGATGGTTTTATTGATCTGAGATTTCTTAGTTAGGTTATCTGTTTGCTTTGCTTAAATTTCTTCTAAATTGTTAAACAATTTCAGAAATAGGATTACTTTTGTGTTGGACTGCAAATTATTTAACTAGTCCCGTCATATATCAAATAGAATCAACATGGATTGCATCTTTAAGCAAGTTGTCGATATTGATTTTTTGTTACTACACACATTCAGTATTTGTGGAAGGAGAAACTATGGTAAAAAGGGTCACTGCCATCCAGGAACATATTTATTGCATAAACATTGTACTAATAGAGGATGCACTATGAGACATTAACCTAACTACTTTCACATCAGGTAAATACTCTTTAGGTAGTATTCCTAACAAAGACTGATTGCATGGATCTATTTTTAATAATCTTTATATAGCATTTTATCAACATCTTTTTGTGTCAAAATTGCACTTTATTCTACAAGATCCTTAAATTTGAAGAATTGGAAAGCAATAATATTCCTACCATAGTAAACATCACACTGATTCCTATAATGAAAACATTAAAGTTAGATTTCTGCTTTGAAGGCCCAGATGATTGAAAATTTTCCATTTTCCACAATGATTTTCCATTTTAAAGGTATATTCTAAACAGTATAAATCGTTCAATAAGCAAAGATGCACAAAATATGTCTGAGCTAATACTTGTAGGGAGAGATGCCCCAATAGTTGTCACGGTTACAGTATTAAAAATAATTTCCCTCACCTTCTCCCAAGTAAATATAATATCTTGAAATAAAAATCAATATTGCTTTCTTCAGTACTAACAATATAACCCCATGGCACATACAACTGGACAAATTAGTACAATTTTAGCTCCATGAGTTGGGGAAAAAATTACACAACCTGCAGTAAGACTATAAGTCACAAGAAAAGCATTAGGAGGGAAATATGTATCCCTTGGTATCACCACATTCTACTTGGAACAGATGACAAAATGCAAGAGCAAACAATTTGTAAGCACATACTGAAAGTTTCTCAGTCTTTCAAGGCTGAGGAATCTGACTCAAAGTAAGACTGACTAAATTTAGTTTCTCTAATACAGCCTTCAGTTAAATATGAACAGTTTCTATACTGACATGTCTCATATTCCTTAATTTATTCACCTTTAGCAGTCACTTGATTAATTATACTGATTTCTTTTCTATTTGGTTTCCACATAGTTTCCAAATTTTAACATTCGTTTGATGTACATCGTAACTGCAGACTGTACAAACTTTTAATGACTGAGTAGGATTTTTCTGCTTCTTATGCATATAACCACTGTTGCTTGCAAGGGCATCTGGAATATTTGCCCTTGCTTTTAATTACAAATGAAAGTTATTGCTCCTTTGGGAATATGAACAATGTAGTCATTACTTTTAAAATATTAAACTAGAGTCATACTTGTAATCCAATATCTTTAAAAGTACACTCAGCTGAGAAATTCTGCAACTTAAAAAGTTAAAGTATTAAATCTTTTGCATTTTAATGGAAACAAAATATTCAAAGGGGCATATTTAAAATATTAAATCATACCATCCTCTCTGCACAGTGACAGAGAGAAAAACTTCAACATTATATAATTATTTTTTAACAAAAATAGTACTTCAAGTATACTATCACTCAATCTAAACTTTTTTTATTTTCAAGACAAGATTTCTCTGGGTAACTTTGCAACTTGTAATATTTTAATAGAAAATGACAGAAACTTGTTTTGTTTTAAATTTAGTATTTCACAAATTTCATATTTTCTTCCTATTTTTCCTATGACCTACTTCATATTGTACACCTAGACAAAAAACATTTTGCTTGTTTTAAATTATGAATTCTCTTAATTTTCTACTGAGTTCATTAAAGAAAACAAAAGTAAAATATGTGAACAAGTAATAAAAATGTCCTAACAAGGACATGAGTCACATCTGAGATAATTTTGAATTCCATTGTATTTACTGTTTTCATGAACACAAGCAAATGAAATAAAATAAGTGTAAACTCCTTTATAATACAGTGCATTTAGTAATTTTGACATATTGAGAGGAGCAAAATAAAAAGTACCCAGTGTTATTATATTAATAGAAAATAAATATTAAGTATAAGCCAGAATATAAATGATAACTACAGTAAGTGCAAATTTTATTCATTACCTGTCTTTGGTTCCACTGAAAAGTATGGCTGTCCTTGAAGAATACTGTAGACCACCCGAGCACTGTTGCCATAGGTAGGATCATCAGCATCTGTGGCTGTCACTTGTACCACTGAAGTCCCTAGTGGACAACCAAACAGTCTTTGAATTAAATTTCTCAAATACAAGGACATTAAAGGACTCAGACACTGTCATAAAATCTAGGCTAAATTTATTTATTTGTTTAAAGTGATCTTCATCAAAGCACATGAGATATCAAGCTAGTATATTTTTGTTTGAACCAAATTAAGAAAATGAATTTTAACAAAAATCCTTGAAATAGGTTGTATGAAATTATTTAGGCAAAGAGACTACAGAATTATGAACATTAGATTCAAAAAGTTAGAGCCAAAAGAGCTTAGATATAGGGTCTCACCCATCATGCTCAGGTGTCAAAATTTCATTAAGAACATTGTCTTCCAAACTCAAGAACTTTCCAGAAGGCAGACTGAGATATAAAAGGAATCTGATACCTCATTCTTCAGCAAGACTGAGATGGAAGCAGAAATCTGTACTTGTAGGATGAGTAGTGGTTCCATTTATTTGCATATTCAAATCTTATTTCATCTCCTTGATAGGTGTTCTGGGATTTTGTTTGTCTATACTAATTCTGAATTAAAAATTTGAGCCAACTTCAACAAAGTTGAAAAAGAATGGTGCTATAAATATGGCACTGATGTCACAGTGTCTTCATTTTATAGATAGTCACTCATTTTCTGGCTTTGGTCAGTTTTCCTTCTGTTTTAATTTTTGTTGTTTCAGATTTTTTATCCCACCCCCTTTTTTATTATTCTTCTCTCCTGCAATGCATCTCTACTGCATGACTGATTTTTAAAAAATGAATGTGCAAAGAAATTATTCTTAATACTTTCCTATACTCATAGACCACTGCCTGTTTGTTTAATAATAAGAGACAGAAACGTGGTGGATCCAGAGGGAATAGGAGATATTGAGGATCTATGAGGAGCAGAAAGTGAAGAAATTGTAATTGGGATATATTATGTGGGTTAAAACCCATTTTGACTAAGAGGAAAACAAAACAAAATGAGAACATTGATGCAAATATCTGTTTTCTGCTGCTCTTGGAGCATAAGCTTTAAAAGGCATAATCATTTCATGCATTTATGCATGTATTAGCATGTAACTTATGTTCTACCTGTTACATAAAGAAAATGTATCATTTTGATGCACTGAGTGTTAGCGTGGTTACAGTAATTCCTAAATAGCGAACTTTAAATGTACTGTCATCTTTGCATAGATTTCTTTCTCTATGCTTATTTTACTAATATCATTTTTCCGGAATTCTACCCAATTTCTATATTATGACATAACTTGCTAATTTCATCTATCTTGTGGTTGAATAGAAATCATGAAATTACAATCATAAAACTTGTTCGTGCTTTGTTTCTCCTTTGGTAAATTTCACTGACTATGTCAAACAGAACCAATGTGGTGAATGGTGTGTATTCCTAAATCAAACTCAGTCACATTTTAGATTCATTAAGTGTGAAAATTATATAGATGTTTAGTTTATCAGCACATTTTAATTATTTAATAGGTACATATATACATACATGCTTGTATAAACATAAAGTTCTGGGTGTATATTGGTGAGTATGCATGTGTGTGTGGATGGTGCACTTATGTGGAGTCTAGGGATCAACCATATGTCTCATTACTAAAGCAACATCCTGCTTGTTTTATTGAGACAGGGTCTCTCCTGACCTCGACCATACTGTGTAGATTAGGCTGAATGGTGAGCAAATCCAGGAGTCTCCTTGTGATGACTCCCAGTGGCAGCAATGCAGTGCATTCCCAGCTTATAATATGGGTCCTAGGATTGAGATCAGAGCCTCATGCATTCATGCCAAGGACTTTACTAGCAGAGCTTTGTTTCTCGCCTCGGAAGCGAGAGCATCTGTGCTTCTCTGAGCTCTGTAGCCATTTAGAAATTGTTCTACAGACTTATTATCATTGATAAAACTTGTGCTAATATGAGTTTATAAAAAGAAAAACTCTAAAATTAAACCCTGAATATTTATGGGCCATACAACATATCAATCAGTGTTATTTTCAATATTTTGTGAGAATTAAACAATTTAGTAAGTTTTAATACATTATCACTACATTTTAGTATTTAAAGTTTGAAATTTTTATTAATCAGCTTAAGAAAGTTTTCAATAATTTATAAAGGTATTTGAAACATAATTTCTGAGTCAAAATAGTGGTGTACTGGGTAATCTCTAAAATAGAATGTATCATATACTTAATTAGCATATTCAATGCTAAATTTGCCAAGTCAATGAAAAATATCCCAAATACTATTACCTAGAAGTATTAAGCTCAATGAAACACAGCTCAAAACTTGTTTTAGCAAACAGTACTAATTGGGGGAGGAAATTGCCAACTTCTTACACCTGCCACACACACACCCGAATCTTATTGTCACTGTATTGCTTCTTTTATTCCTGTGGGAAACAGTTGCAAGGTGCTGTTTGAAGTCATGGCCAGAATTAAGAAAAAGGGTACATATGTGCTTTGTCAGAGACATGCATATCTACATATTATCATTAGAACCTCTCTATGTTATAGAATATTTAATGACTAAAAGTCTTGATAATTCCTTTTTAAGATTGAAATTCTCTAACAGATAGAGCCACATGTCCCCAAAAGATTGGGTTCTAAATTGCCATGCCCTAAGTGGAACACTTACCTGTACAATCAAACCACCAGTGTAACAACATCAGTCAAAGGACTGAATGAATAAAACAAGATAAACAATGGTGGTTAAAATGTCCATGTGCTATAAATTTCACCAATATCTTAAATGAGCTTAGTCCTTCAATAATAAAACCAACAGGGATTACATTTATAAACACATTGTCCTATTTTACAGTCCCATTACAAATAATTTATATACGTAAATTACATAGTGGCTAAATAAAATGCTATTGGGGAATACTCAAAACATTGAAATTTAAAACAGAATTTAAATTTTTGGCATAAAGTAAACATGTAAGTTTGCATTTTTTTAAATGAAGAACTGCTGAAAGATCCTAGAAGGTGCTTTTTGTTGTTTTCTGTTTACCTATTGCTTTATTACTATGAGAAACAACTCGGTATTTAATTTACAAGTGAAGAGATTACAAAAGAATTAGTGGCAGTAAAAATGGGAAGGGAAAATCAGAGGATCATTGCCCTAATAGAGAAGATTTTGTTCTTTTGTTTGCTTTCTTTTCAGAGTCTCTAGAACAATCTGCCACGAGAGAGAGAGAGAGAGAGAGAGAGAGAGAGAGAGAGAGAGAGAGAGAGAGAGAGGAGGGAGGGAGGGAGGGAGGGAGGGAGGGAGGCAGGGAGGGAGGCAGGGAGGGAGGGAGGGAGGGAGGAGGAGGAGGAAGAAGAAGAGGAGGAGGAGGAGGAAGAGCAGGAGGAGGAGGAGGGTTGAAAGAACATACAGTTACTTTAAAAAATAACATGTTAGAAGTCATTATAATCATATTTTTATATAAATATTTAATAGAAAGGAAAATTCACACGGTATTTGTTTATTAAAGACAACGAAAGTTGAGCCAAGGGAACAGGATAAAATTGTAAAATGTAAAAATATGAAACAACAGCAGAAAACTTCTGGTAAACTTCCAAACACTTAAAGGAGGATTTGAATGAATGAGTCATGGCTTCTAGTATGTCATCAGTTTACTTTCATTCTGATCATTGCTACACATATACCAGTATATTTTTCAGACATTTAACTCAAAAATAATGTGCTCTTTACTTACCCACAGGAGACATTTCAGGAACTCCAGCTGTGTATGGGCCATCCAGAAATTTGGGTTCATTGTCATTGATATCCTGAATTTTTATTACAAATTCAGATTCAGGCTCCACAGGCTTGTTGGTGAGTCTGTCCAGAGCTTGGGCTCTGAGTGTATAATAGGCCTGCTCCTCCCGATCCAATCTCTTGGTGGCATGAATATCCCCAGTGTTCTCATCAATAATGAAAATGGAACTTGCCCCTTCGCCTGACAAGATGTATTTGATGGAACCATCTCCTTTATCAACATCAGAGTGAAGCTGGTGAAAAATTCATGTAAGATGAGATTAACTTACCAGAGATTCAGCAACATGGAGACATGTAAAAGTTACTCACTCTTGTATCAGACAGCTGTATGAGATTTCATTGTTCTTGGGAAGATAAGTCAAGTGCTGATTGTGCACAGAAGCAAGGATGTATAGTAATCTTTTCTTTCTGTAAATAGTCTCATTTCCAAATATGTCTTCATCCCATTCAGAAATATAGGAACTTTTGATATATTACATATATAGATGGAATATATTTTAGTATATATGTTTAAGCATATATTTAAATGTGTGTGTGTGTCCATTTTTTAAATTTAGCATTCTCAGACGAGTCATCAAGTACATATGCATACATATTGATGTTTTTACTTTCTTCCTATGGGATTTTCTGTATATTTGTAAATTTGTTTCTGAGACACTCATTAGTTTTCATATATGTATGTACATATGGAACCATATCTTACGAGCTCTATCTCCTGCCTCCCTAGCATGTCTTCATATACAAACCACATAATGATTAACCAGCATGAATGAAAGTCCAGTCTCTAAATCTACCTCCAAACCTTATTCAGCATTTTATTTTTGAAGCAGAGAGTTTATTGCTGATCAAAGTAGGGATTTTAAATCAATATGTGTACAAGAAACAGCTGAAATACAAAGAACTGCAGTAGACTTTCATGATTAACACTGGTGTCAAGTGCAGGACAACACGGTCTGATTTGCATTTCATATCTGAACTGACCCTGCTCTATGTCACAACACAATATACACAGATCAATCTTTGGAAACATAGAAATAATTATATATTTTCCTGAACTTCATAACCTGAGAAACATGCTACTCAATTCATCATTTCACCAATCATTCATTTCCTTGAGTGCTAAATCCACTCAGCTGGCATGGTTGCAAAATGTACTGATCACATTATAGGCACAAGAAAGATACTATAAATTGAGTCTTAAAAGTGAAGGTTAGTCTGAGTTCTGATGCTGCATTTTGCATTATTATGCTGATTAATATCCATGAGTGATATCAGAAGAGTTTAAAGACATATAATTAATATTGATTGTTTCTTCATTGTTACAAGAATATCAATACTTCTCGTCTCCCCCTCTCCTTCTTGACACACTTATCAACATATGATTCCTCAAGGACAAAGAAAATTACTTTCTTCCTATCAATAACAACTTCCTCTCAGTTAATATCACAACTGGATTGTGGTAATTGACAAACTGAACAACAAATATTTTCTTAAAATCTACATTTTATTCTTGTAGAATTAATATAGGCTAATTTGGTTAAAAACAATGAACTGCCTTGGGTATTAAGACATGTGTACTATAAATCTGGGTATACAATCATAGTTTTAATAAATAAAAATTCATGTTGTTACACTCGCTGGTGAAAGAGAGTACTCAGAAAAGAAGAGAAATATTGCAATGTTTCATTAAACTCCTCCATTCCTGGTGGGAATGCAAACTTGTACAGCCACTTTAGAAATCAGTATGGCAGTTTTTCAGGAAAATGGGAATCAGTCTACCTCAAGATCCAGCAATACCACACCTAGGCATAAACCCAAGGGATGTATGTACTTTCATACAGCAAGGACATCTGTTCAACCATGTACATAGCAGCATTATTTGTAATAGCCAAAACCTGGAAGCAACCTAGATGCCCCTCAATGGAAGAGTGGATAGAGAAAATGTGGTACATTTACAGAATGGAGTATTACTCAGTGGAAAAAGAAAACAATGAATTCTTGAAATTCCCAGGCAAATGGATGGAAAAAGAAGAAACCATCCTGAGTTATGTAACCCAGTCACAAAAAGACAAACAAGGTATGTACTTACTCGTATATGGATATTAGACATAGAGCAAAGGATTACCAGCCTACAATCCACACCTCCCGAGAGGCTAGGAAACAAGGAGGACCCTCACAGGGACATACATGACCCCCAAAAAAGGCGAAATTGAAAAGATTGCCATGTCACTGTGCAGCCTGTACAGTGGGTGTCGGGATTGATGACACAGAGACCCATTGGTGGTGAAATAAGGCTTCTTGAAGAAGGCTTCAAGAAGGCCTCAAGAAGGCCCGAAAAAGGCTCCAAGAAGGCTCTTGCTTTTATGCCCTGACACAAGATGCAATGGTGGGGTGTCAGGAAGGGCAGTTAGTCATTGGAAAAGGTCAAGGTCAGTGTGTTCCCGTGGGCAAGCCCTTATCAGGAATGGAAGGCAAACCTCATTGCTCAGGTAAACATTTCTTATGGGCACCGTATTGTTTTTAGTAAACATGTCTTCTCTGCAGTTGGTTACTAGCTGCCTGCTCCCAGACTGATGGGGAAGTGGAACTCTGGCCAAGGTCTCTTGTTCCCACAAAGATCTCCTGAGCAAATTGGGAGCATGTGGGGTGGAGGTAGGGGAAAGAGAAGGGGAGAAGAGGTGCAGGGGGGAGGAAAACATGAGGGATCAGGAAGACTGAGACAGGGCAGGGGAAGAATAGAAAGGAGAGCAGGAAAAGAGATACTTTAATAGAGCGAGCCATCTGACACTAAGAAAATGTTCAGAGATCCACAAGGATGACCCCAGCTAAGAATCTAAACAACAGTAGAGAGGCTACCTTAAATGCCCTTACCCTACAATGAGATTGATGACTACTTTAAATGCCATACTAGAGCCTTCATTCAGTAGCTGATGGAAGCAAACACAGACATCCACAGCTAAGTTCTGAGCCAAACTCCTGGAATCCAGTTGTAGAGAAGGAGGATAAATGAACAAAAAGGCGAAGGCCAGGTTAGAGAAACCCACAGAAACAGCTGACCTAACCAAGTGGGAGCACACAGACCTTAGTCATAAAAACTGGAGAACCAGCATTGGACCAAACCAAGCCTTCTGAACTTGGGTGTGAGTTAGCATGCTTGGGTGGTCTATGCGGCCTCTGACAGTGGAACAGTATTTATCCCTAGTGCGCGAATAGACTTTGGGAGTCCATTCTCCCAGCTTGGATACACAAATAAGGGCCTAGGCCTTCCCCCAAATGATAAGACACTTAGATGATGCCATATGGAAGGCCTCATCCTCCCTGAGGAATGGATGTGGGTGGAATGAGGGGTCCATGAGGGGCATGGGAGGATGTGGGGGAGAGGGAACTGGGATTGATATGTAAAATAAGATTGTTTCTAAATTAAATTTTAAAAATTTCTTAAAAAGCACAAATATTCAGCAGCAGTCTTAAATTCTTACCTGTGTGTGTTTGTGTGAGTGTGTGTGTGTGTGTGTGTGTACATGAGTGCAAGTGCCTGTAGAGAACAGAAAAATCTTTTTGATCTCCAGTGCCATATATAAAGGAAGTTTCCCACCCTGTAATATCTTCATTGAAATTGAACCTGAGTCCTCCCTAACAGCAACACATGCTCTCAACTGCTAATCGAATCCAGCCTAGGAAATGCCATTCTGTCATTCTTAATTTGGCACACACACACACATTTTTGTCTGTGTGTTTATGTGTGCTTTCTGTGAGTAGTTATTATGACGTAAACTTCTTTTACTTTTAAGATTTTATGTATCTATTGTTTCATGTTCATTAAGAAACATTAGGAACGTTCCAAAGTTACTAATAGTAAGAGAGAGAGAGAGAGAGAGAGAGAGAGAGAGAGAGAGAGAGAGAGAGAGACAGAGAGAGAAAGGAAGAAAGAAAAGAAGAAAAGACAACCAGTTGGCACAGAGAAAGGAGGGAAGCAATGGTATGTGGATATCATGATCAACAAGCATGTTTAAAAATATATTTCTTAACCATCTGCTGTGGTTCCATTATATTTTGTTGAAAATGTCTCCTCACTTTCTATGCCATATCATCTTTGTATTTTTCATTGCTCCACCAATTTTCTCTGAACTAAACTTGCCTTCTGTATTTAAAAATATATTTATCTTATTTTTTGAGATTATGATTTAATTACATCATTTCCTCCTTCCCTTTGCTCCCCCCACTCTCCCTCCTTGTCCCTTTGCAAATTTATTATTATTTTCATCAATTACTGTGGCATACATATATCTATACATCTGTATCATCATGGCTATGCAAATACACTTGGCTCAGTCTGTGTAATGTTTCATATAAGTAACAATTAAATATTTATACCTTTCAGTATTTTAATCCAATTTTAATAGTTTACTTAATCAACTAGAAATATCCTCATTCATCCCTTGTTTTAATACTACCACACATTTAATACTATCTCATTGTCTATAATATTATAATTGCCAGATGTGTACTATCTACCCAGCCTTCCCTCTCACTCACTCTCAAAAGCTGTGTTGTTTCAGAACAGCATACTGAAATAGTCCTTGTTGAATGAACATAAGTAGTATTGCCCATTCATTCATTTATTTATTTATTACACATTCATTTAGAACATGCCTTTTAGTGAACTGTAGCTAACTCAGGCCCAACACTCATGCATGCATGCTCATTTTTACTGAATCCCCATAGTTCTATTAACGTAAAATTTCTATACTAACTAGATACTCAGCATACTCTATATTTTCAGTAAATAGCATGTTACCACAAAACTTGGTAAATTCACAATCTGTTTTGTAAAATAGAAGTATTTGTATAATTCCTGTGTTTGTCATTTTAGGTTTCAATCGCACCAGGGAATATAAGTTTTTTGATGACAGAATCCCTTTTTCTTTAGTCCATGTCTTTATCCATTATTTATTTTGTAACTTGTGATTGTGAAGGTGAACTAAGATTATTGTGCATATCTTGTAACCAGAGACACCCTAGTAAGCATTACCAAAAAGAATGTTTAATTGATTTCCTTAAAATACCAACTAAAAATGCTAAACATTCCTGAAATACGACTGAGATTTAAAAAGATCAACATATTGGTTAACATTTTTCCCCATATTATTCTTAAACTGAAAATTTATCTTCCTTGAAAGCTTGTCTTTATTCATGATTCATCCCAATGCTATGTAAAGCTGTGATAAAGAGG